GTTGTCCTCATCATCTTCATCACTGCTTGTTTGAAATTCGTCAGCAGCTTCTTCAGAAGTATATATGTATGTGCGCTGTGGAGGTCCTGTTCGTTTGACCAACAAGTTTATTTTAGTTTCCCACTTAGACTTCCAATTGGTGAGAATATATCAGGCACACTTTCTACTGCGTAACTTTATCCTACACCCCATCTTCATAACGTATTGGAGCCCGTTTGCGTGTACAAACCTTCGGAGCAAAATAATAAGACGTGAAATGAGAAGTTTCTTCTGTCAAACTTCCCGCCACGATAGACCCTTCAACTTTTGCTAAGTTTTTAGCCTTACCCTTTAAATGCTTCATAAAGCGTTCAAACGGATACATCCACCTAAACTGAACAGGTCCTCCCAACTCTGCTTCATGAGGGAGGTGTATAGGTAAATGTTCCATAACATCGAAGAAAGCAGGTGGGAATATTTTCTCTAAATTGCACAACAATATTGGAATATTTGTAGACAGTTGGGCAACTACATCTGCTGATAATGTCCTTGTACTTAGATCACGAAAGAAAGCTCCAATGCCTCCTAGTGCTTCATGGACATGTCCCGGTAGGAGTTCAGCAAACGCAAAAGGAAGTGACCGTTGCATAAACACATGACAATCAAGACTTTTCATCCCTGAAAACTTTTGTCCTTTATCCACAGATTTAGCCAGATTAGATACATACCCATCAGGAAATTTCACGGCTGATGATACCCAATTAAACAATGCTGCTTTTTGTTCAGCACCCAACCGAAATACAGGAACTGGTGCTTTCCCATTACTCACCATATGCAACTCAATTCTGTTACATATATCGGGAAAATCCATCCGTGATTTAACGCTGTCTTTGGTTCTTCCTTGGACGTTCAAAACCGTATGCATGATGTTATCGAAAAAATTCTTCTCAATGTGCATAACATCAAGATTATGTCTCAGCAAATGATCTTTCCAGTATGGCAGATCCCAAAATATACTTTTCTTGTGCCAATTATGATGAACCCCATATCCTTCAGGCATATTCGCTGGAGTGTGCCAATTTCCTCCTCGGGGGACCGTTTCAAGTCCACCCCAATGATCTATTTGCGCTTCAAGCTCTACCCCAGTTAGGTACACTGGTGGAGGGAGACGAACCAATTTGTTCTTTATAAACAAACGCCTGTTTCTTCTATATTGATGGTTTGGTGGTAAAAACTGAAACACCCCATCCCGAACTCTAAGCCCGTGGAGGTTGTTTCCGGTCGGACCGCTATACGGCTCCGACCCCATCAGTCCAATTTTAGGGTCAAGTCCTTTGTTTAAGTCATATTCGATATGTGTATTCTGAGATTCACTAAGTTAGAGTCAATATGTATTATTAGAAGACAGAAACGGATATTTTATTGATAACTAAAACGGGTGCGAGTTTTGGCCAAACAGGTGCATCGATTGGGCGCATAGATTTTGCAACCTTTCGGCCATAACCGCCCATAACCACCCCAGTCCAGCTAGTTCACTGGCAACCCAGCTAGACCAACTGTCTAACTCTTAATCCAGCTGAGCTGAGCTTCCCGGCAGCTGGTCCAGCTAGCTTAGCTCACCTTTTCAACTCTTTTTAGCTCGGCCTTCCTTACTGAGCTATCTTTCTCTTCTTTTTCCTGGCTAAGTCCCATATTAACTAGACTTAACCCTCATACTGGACCATGGCTTGTGTGTTCCTTAGACTCTCGGTCATTATTCCTCATCTTACGGCCATGGTCCATCCCGGCGACCCTATTGCGGATCGGGGACGTTACAAGTCTCCCCCCCTTGAAAGGGATTCGTCCTCGAATCCGGGCTAAGGGGTAGAACCTTGTTCCATTCCTCGAACCACTCGGGATAATCAGCCCTCATCCGATACTCTGTTTCCCAAGTTTCTTCTTCCACACCGTTACTTTCCCAAACAACTTTGACCATCGGAATCATCTTTTTCCTTGTTGCTTTTTCCATCTTGTCGATGATCCGGACTGGTCGTGTTTCCACAGTCAAATTCCCTTTAAGGTCTGAAGGAATCTCGGTCAGGACTTTATCTTGATCTGTTAAGCACTTTCTTAGTTGGGATACATGGAAAACATTGTGAAATGCTTCCATCGCCGGTGGTAAATCCAACTTATAGGCGACCGCCCCAACCCTTTCCATAATTCGGAATGGTCCTATGTACCTTGGATCAAGCTTTCCCCTCTTGGAAGTCCGAGCCCTTCCTTTGAACGTGATCATCTTCAGATAGACCAGGTCGCCCACCGCGAACTCAAGGTCTTTCCGACGCTTGTCCGCATAGCTTTTCTGTCTGTCTTGGGCTTCCTTCATTTTTATCTTTAGGAACTTGATTCTTTCCGTGGTTTCCTCCACAATAGCCGGTCCAATTGCACTCCGTTCTCCCACTTGGGTCCAACACAGTGGTGTTCGGCACGGCCGTCCATATAAGGCTTCATACGGCGACATCCCAATGCTGGCTTGGAAACTGTTGTTGTAGGCGAATTCGGCTAAGGGTAAATACTTCTCTCATGACCCGCCCCAATCCAGAACACAAGCCCGTAACATGTCTTCAAGGATTTGTATGGTCCGTTCTGACTGTCCGTCTGTCTGCGGATGATAAGCCGTACTCATGTTCACTCTTGTCCCTAAGGCCTTTTGAAAAGCCCTCCAGAAGAAAGATGTGAACCGCGAATCTCGGTCTGAGACTATGCTTGCCGGAACACCATGCAACCGCACTATCTCATCCAGATACCTGACCACAATCTGCTCAACACCATCCGTCTTTTTAATTGTAATGAAGTGAGCGGACTTAGTTAATCGATCCACCACAACCCAGACCGCATCACGTCCGGTCCTTGTTCGGGGAAAACCAGTCACGAAATCCATCGTTACATGTCCCATTTCCACTCCGGAATGGGTAAACTCTGTAGCAACCCACTCGGGACTTGATGTTCCGCCTTTACCAGTTGACAAGTAGGACATCTTGCCACCCACTCAGCCACGTCCCTTTTCATCCCGACCCAATGATAATACCGTTTCAGATCCTGGTACATCTTGTTAAGCCCAGGATGAATCGAGAACTTAGACTGATGCGCCTCCCTAAGGATTTCTTCCTTTAACTCCTTCACTTCTGGAACACATACCCGGCCATTAACCACAATGGTGCCATTGTTTGAGGTTTGGTACTTCGTCTTCCCGTTCTGCACTGCCTTACCCAAGACTTCATCTTTTCCTTGTGCAGTCCGAATTCGTGTAAGCAGGCCAGCTTGATCTGCCGCCCCTAAGCCCAACGGTTCTGGTTCGGTGGACAAGGCATTAAGGCGCAATGTCCCAATCATGTTTACTAGCATCTCCGCTTCTTTTCCCGCAGCAACTTCGGACCGTCTTCTGCTTAGAGCATCCGCGACTAAGTTAGCTTTACCAGGATGATAAGCTATATCCAAGTCGTAATCCGCCACAAGTTCCATCCAACGCCTTTGCCTTAGGTTTAATCCGGGCTGCGTGAAGATGTACTTCAGACTCTTATGGTCGGTGTAGATTTGCACTTTGGCTCCGTAGAGGTAGGATCGCCATATCTTAAGTGCAAAGACTACTGCCGCCATTTCCAAGTCATGGGTTGGATAATTCCCTTCATGTTTCCGTAACTGCCTTGATGCATAGGCGATCACCTTGCCTTTTTGCATAAGGACACATCCCAACCCGTTTATAGATGCATCCCTGTACACCACATACGGCTCGTCCGTTTCCGGTAAGGCTAGAACTGGTGCGCTGGTTAATTTCTCCTTCAGCCCGGCGAAACTCTTTTCACACTCCTCTGTCCATGTGAATTTCACATCCTTCCCAGTCAACCGCGTCAATGACTTGGCCAAACTCGAGAATCCATTCACAAACTTCCTGTAATATCCCGCCAAGCCGAGAAAGCTCCTTATTTCCGAGGCGTTCTTGGGTCTTGGCCATTCTTCAATGGCTTTGATCTTCTCCGGATCTACCGATACAACTTGGTCCGAGACAATATGGCCTAGGAACCCAATACTCCTTTGCCAAAAGCTACATTTGCTCAATTTCGCATATAGCTTTTGGTCCCTTAGTCACTGCAACACCGCCCTCAAATGACCTTGATGCGCTTCCCGGTCCTTTGAATAAACAAGAATGTCATCGATGAAAATGATAACAAACTCGTCCAGACAATCACGGAAAATCCCATTCATCATCTTCATGAAGGCTGCTGGTGCGTTGGTCAATCCGAATGGCATGACCACAAATTCAAAGTGACCATACCTAGTCCGGAAAGCCGTCTTGCGCACATCCGTAGGCTCTATGGGAATCTGATGATAACCCGAAGCCAAATCTACCTTTGAGAACACCGTCGCCCCTTTCAACTGATCCAGCAACTCGTCTATCCGAGGCAATGGGTACTTGTTCTTAACAGTTACTCGGTTAAGCCCTCGGTAGTCGATGCACAGCCTAAAGCTTCCGCCTTTCTTCTTAACAAATAGAACCGGCGCTCCCCATGGTGAACTACTCGGCCTAATGAATCCCTTTTCCAATAGCTCTTCCAACTGTTTCTGTTTCTTAAGCTCGGCCATCTCTGCAGGAGCCATCCGGTAAGGCGCCTTCGAGAGTGGGGTCGTTCCCGGTTCGAGTTCTATTGTAAATGGATCGGACCGGTCAGGTGGTAAACCTGATAAGGCCTGGAACACATCTGCGAACTCGTTGACTACCGGAATTCCCGTGATCTCGGCATCCTTGCCCACTTCGGCCGACGTGATTGTGGCCAAGTAAGCCTCACAACCCTTTTCTAGCATCCTTTCCGCTTGGATTGCTGAGATAATCAAACTCCCTGAAGTTGGTCGAATCCCTTGAAACTCCAACTTTCCAGCATCCCGCTCAAACCGCACCCGTCCCCGGTAACAGTCCAGCGTTGCTTTATGTTTTCCCAGCCAGTCCATTCCCAATATCACTTCGTGATGCTTGAGTCGGACTATGACTAGGTCCGCTGGTAGGTTCACACCCCCAATCATTACCGAGATGTCATGGACTGTTCCCTGCGAGAACATGACCTGACCACCTGCAGCATTGACTATCCCATAGTCTTTCCCAGGTTCTTTACAGAACCTGCCTTTTCCTATCATTTCCGGGCTCACAAAACTATGTGTAGCTCCGGTATCAAATAAGACGTGTGTTGACACACCGCCTATCTCTAGGGTCCCTACACATTTTTTCTAAATGCTAAGTTCCCTATCCTTTCTACCCCGATGCAATGCCATGCTCGAAATTTAAATTATTGAATAGGCTAGGAAACTTACCAGTGATCTCACTGTAACTTCCGGCCTCATCAATTTCCTTGGACAACTCGTACCCCCGGGGTGCCACAGCCTGTCTCTTGGCTTGCTGTGTGTCCCCACTACGGTTCCCTCTTTGTTCCATCCGTATTTCAGCTTGCAGCTTAGGACATTCCTTCTTGAAATGTCCGGCCTTTCCGCAATAGAAACAGGATCTTTCCTCATTTTTAACCTTGAGCTGCCCTTGCTCAATCCGCGGACAACTTTGAACCGTGTGGTCCTTGCTTCCGCACTTGGCACATGCTCCAACCATTTTCCAGCATGTACCTCCATGCTTCTTTCCGCAAGTCGCACATTCCCTTTGTTTAGCCGAGGCTTGACCGCCTTCACCGACCTGATCCCATTTCTGTTTCCTGTTATCCACGATCTTACTCGCCAGGTTGGGACGTGTCGGGGCTCTTTCCTTATTTTCCTATTCAATGCTAGACTCAATAGCCGCAGCCCGTTCCACTAATTCCGCAACCGATCTGAAGGTGCGTGAGGAGCAATGGGTTCGGAGTTCTCCTCTTAAGCCGCGGAGGAACCGCCGGATCTGTGTATCCTCCTTCACCAAATCCCCTCCAACACACCGTCGCAGACGGTTGAATTCCACCTCGTACTCCCGGACAGTCCGGTTTCCTTGTGTTAATTCCAGGAATTGCTGTTCGAGTCTATCCCAAGCTTCCGAAGGAAAGTACTTTTGGTTGAACTCCTCCTCAAACTCGGCAAAAGTATCAATTCCTCCCGAGCGTTTTTCCACTGATACCCACCAATTGTGTGCATCTCCTTCAAGAAAATGGACTGCAATGTCCTTCTTGTAATCTTCTGGGCATCTGGTGGATCAAAAATTTCGGACTAAGCGGTTTCGCCACTCATCCGCCTCAATTGGGTCAGAGCTACCCTGGAATTGCCTAGTCCCAAGCCTGGCCACGTGATCCAACACGACCAAATAGTCCACCTTCTTTGTCGGCTTATTCGGTGATGAGTCGAGTTCCACCACCTCCGCAGCCCTGCCTTCTTTTTCTGCTACGATCGGAATGGCCGTACGGATCCTTGTGGACTGCCCATCGGACAAGTTTCCTGCCGGTGCTGCAGCCTGACTCAGGACCGTCAGTTGCGTCATTATAGCCTGGAGAGTTTGCCACATCTCCGCAGGCGTTGGTACTGGGGTCTGGTTTCCCGTGCCAGCCGCCGCACCTTCCTTATTTTCAGCACCTTTATCCGATGTCTCGGCAAAGTCCTCACGACCCATCGCCTCCTGACCATCCTGGTCAACCATCGGTCTTTTCCCGTTGCTCTTCTCTCTTTCCCCAGCCTCAGGTCCGGTGGGGTTGAGAGCAGGCTGTTCATCCTCATTGGCCTGACTTGGTTCGGTCGTCTCCTTATTCTTTTTACTTTTTCCTGTCTTGTTGCTTTTACCCATCTGCAGAAATCGTTTAGTTAGTGCATCCTAACTATTACCAAGATTTCTAGACAAGCCTAAGCAACAACCTAGCGCAAGACCCTTTAGCCGATGAGTGGTGTACCCAAAACCCAACAGAACTGTCCTAGGAGCAAGCATGCTCTGATACCAACTTGAAACACCCCATCCCGAACTCTAAGCCCATGGAGGTTGTTTCCGGTCGGACCGCTATACGGCTCCGACCCCATCAGTCCAATTTTAGGGTCAAGTCCTTTGTTTAAGTCATATTCGATATGTGTATTCTGAGATTCACTAAGTTAGAGTCAATATGTATTATTAGAAGACAGAAACGGATATTTTATTGATAACTAAAAGGATTCATTACAACTTATGAGTCTGCATATAAGCTATTATAAGAGTACATGATCCTATCTATCCGTTTCAATACACCACTCATCCGCGTGGCTAACTGGTCCGCGCGCCTAGGCCAAATCCCTTCCTGGACCACCATCCTTTCCTGAAAGGTCAATAGTTTAAGTCTATGCAATTCTGGCTAAGTATTATTCATGCATATGAATGCATTTCATGCTTATGATTCCCGACCCTGTTTCTAACCCACAGCATCTATTTCTAATCCGGTTCATAGGTCGACCTTCGGTTGACCGAGTTTGGCGAGAACCGTTCTATCTCCCAAGCCACTCGGCCACCGCGTCAACCGGATCCAGTCAATAACTAACACGACTCTATGTGTACCATCACCGGCTCAGTCTTAATTCCATGGCCGGCGATCTTTGAGATTTCGGCCGAGATACATGATCGGATCGGCCTAGCCCATACTTCGGCCGATCGTCGCATATCCTCGGTCGAATCCGTTATTCCTTCCACCGCCACTAACCATCCGTTCGGCCTAGCCCATACTTTGGCCGATCATCCGAATAGCGCGCTGAAATAACAACTTAATCGGACGCTCCTATCTATGAACGCACCTTAGAGATTCACGGTCATTTTTTCCCTTGCCGCGCCGCGCTCTCTCGTTCTTCTTTCCTTCCGCGACCCGCACCAGTCGCTCCGCGCGGTTTCCCTTCCGCCGGACTCACGGTCACTGCCTTCATTCTCTCGGTCACTCGAAATTTGGGCAGAGTTTTGTCCCTTAGTTTGTGCGTACCCGAAAATGTGGCCCAAGGGGTCTATTTATAGACTTTTCCTTGTGGTAACCACTTTGAGCGAACGGGTGCGAGTTTTGGCCAAACAGGTGCATCGATTGGGCGCATAGACTTTGCAACCTTTCGGCCATAACCGCCCATAACCACCCCAGTCCAGCTAGTTCACTGGCCACCCAGCTAGACCAACTGTCTTACTTTTAATCCAGCTGAGCTGAGCTTCCCGGCAGCTGGTCCAGCTAGCTTAGCTCACCTTTTCAACTCTTTTTAGCTCGGCCTTCCTTACTGAGCTATCTTTCTCTTCTTTTTCCTGGCTAAGTCCCATATTAACTAGACTTAACCCTCATACTGGACCATGGCTTGTGTGTTCCTTAGACACTCGGTCATTATTCCTCATCTTACGGCCATGGTCCGTCCCGGCGACCCTATTGCGGATCGGGGACGTTACAAAAACCGACGGTGGCAATCAAACCAACAGGTTTTCCGACCATGTTTAAGCTGAAATGCATCAGTCCTATGAAGAAAATAAGGACATGATAACCTCTCATGCGTTGTCCAACCTGATAGCATTCCGTATGCCGGGAAATCGCTTATTGTCCACATAAGCACCGCTCGCATCGTAAAATTTTTACCATTCGAACTGTCATATGTTCGTACTCCAACATGCCACAATTGGTTTAACTCATGTATGAGTGGTTGCAAAAACACATCAAGGGCCCGCTTCAGGTGATTTGGACCAGGGACTAATATACTTAGAAACAAAAACTCCCTTTGCATGCACATATCTGGAGGAAGGTTATATGGCGTAAGATCACAGGCCATAATGAATATTGCATACCGGACATACCAAATGGACTAAACCCGTCAGTGCAAAGACCAAGATAAACATTTTGCTTAGACCTAGCAAAGTCTGGATGTACGGTGTTAAAATGTTTCCAAGATTTCCCGTCAGACGGGTGAGTCATTTTGCCATCTGTTTGTGAATGTTCTGCATGTCATCTCATCGACGCAGCTATCCGTTCAGATTGATATAGTCTTTTTAACCTATCAGTGATAGGAAGATACCACATTCGTTGGTAAGGAATCTTCTTACGCCCAGCAATTTGCGGTCTATATCTTGGCTTTTGGCAGAAACGACATTCTTCAAGCTTCTCATCATCTCTCCAAAAAAGCATACAATTATCAACACAAACATCAATCATCTCAGAAGGCAATCCAAGACTAAAAACCAGCTTCTGAATTTCATAATACGTTTCAGCAGCCAAATTATCATCTGGCAAATACTCTTTAATAAGATCTGCCCAATCGTTCATGCAAACTTCAGATAGATTGTGATCAGTTTTTATTGTCATCATCCGAGCTGCCAATGATAATTTTGATAAACCTTCCCTACATCCCTCGTAAAGAGGCTGTTTTGCTGCGTTTAACATATCATAAAAGCGTTTCGCATCTGCATTGGGCTCCTCAACAGTATCAGCATGTGTTTCATGAAATGCATCAGTAACCATTTCATGCATCCTATCATGATCTTCACCCTGAACTTGATTACTTTGATAATCATTTGATGCTTCAAAATCCCCATGTTCTTGATGATTACTACTACTCCGTGCAGCCATCTGACCACTACTTTGACCATATCCCTCTCCATGTTGATACCAAATAAAGTATTGGGGCATGAACCCTCTATTCAATAAATGCTGCCAGACAGTGTCAATAGGAATATGTTTCCTATTTTTGCATTTCACACAAGGACAATACATTTTGCCGCTTTCAATTACAGTTTGCATAAGGCCGGCCTGGTACATGAATATTTCCAATCCGTTTTTGAAGTCTTCAGTCAACGACCCATCACCATTTTTGGGCGTATACATCCACTTTCGTAGATCGTATATAGACATTTCAAAAACAAATAAGTGACTTTTTGTTTTTGAAATTTGATATAAATTTCAACTACTAAAAATTTTACTTAAACATTCAAAGACTCAAAAAATTTGTGTCTTTATATGTTTTTTTGGGTTGATGGAATAATGAGAGAAGAAAGGGTATATATAGATTTTTTGTTTGGTTACCAACATATTACCATTGCATATTTACATCAAATTTACGTCGAAATAAAAATTACATTATATTTACATCGATATTACGTCAATTTCAAGATATAGGCCAATTCGTCGTATTATCGATGTAAATTTTACGACAACATTACGACGAAATATAATTCGTTCTTTATTCGTCGTAATGTCGTCGTAAATTTACGACGATTTTACGAGGGTAATTTTTTACGTCGAATTTACGACGAAATTTTTGGACGTTGTACATACGACGTAATTTCGTCGTAAATTTACGACGACCGTAAATCGTCATAAATAATTCGTTGGAAAAGTCCCTCTTTCTTGTAGTGATGTAGCTAAGATCTCGGGCTTGTTGTTCTTCTCTGCGTCTGGTGGCTTAAGGAGTGTTATAGAAACTTTCCTCATAGTGTGGATTTCGATTTATAGGATCCATATCTTCTGAAAAGGAAACAAAATAACCGAAAATGGAAATATGCAGAAAAAGGGGTTCTAGAGTCGATTTACCAACCTTTCTTAGGGTTTTGCGGGAAAGAAAACGCGTGCCTTCCCCGGCAACGACGCCAAAAACTTGATGTGCTGTCGTGTTGAGGGTTGTCAAGTTTTACCCTAAATGAAATCAATAGCCGCAAGTGCACAGCTG